AGTAGAACATCACCTGTGTTCTTTCATTTAATGATAAATAAAGAAATGTATGGGAAAGCATAATTAGATATTCTATATAGTTAATACATTTTCCAAACAGAAGTTTTAAAGCCTTTTTTTGAAAATGTCTCTGGACTGTTAGAATTTGTTTTTGTACACTGAGAAAATAATGAATTTAGATTTCTATGAAATTACCTTTAAGATGCTTGACTGGGTACCAAGTCAAGATAGATTATATCAAACCTCACAGTGTCCCTCTGCATCACTTGCTCCTGTTTCAGACCTCGTGGCATTCCTGAAGCAGCAAATATTATTCTATACGAATTAAAATCTATTTTTTTTAATGCCTTAAGCCCTTCAAGTAGTTAAGAGACTCAATATCTTACATAGCCTGCTGTGTTATATATAAACATAAATCAAATAGACGATAAGTGTTTTAGAATTTATAAAATGCATGGTGTTTGGAAGATTTGGATATAATTTCAGAGCTTAATAAATTTCTCTAGATTTGAGGAACCAAGGCCAAATAGCAGACAATTCTTCTTAAAAGAACACTCAAATTTGTTTCTAACAATTTAGCATATATGCGCACAAGGAAAACATGCCTATATTGTTTTCTGCATGTTTTACTTGAGGGTTTATGAAAATATGAAAAAAAGCAGCATGCAAAAGTTGCAAAAGTCTAGAGCCTTTGCAATCCTTCTCCTCTTTACCAAACAGAGGCTTCTCATTGAGAAGTCTCGGAGCTGAAGCCGCAAGTGCAGATGCACAATGCATGTGATCACAACTTTCCTGTGCTACTCAAAGAGCTGTAGTACAGTTGATTGAGAAAGTGGTAGGCAGGTGTCCGTTAGCTCACTGTGCCTACAACTTTCTTGAGCTCCATTAGAAAAACTCCATGGTTGTCAGGTTGACAGTTGAGAAGGTGTTTCAACAACATTTTATAAAAGTGCTGATTTCTATGGAAATAGGCACTTTTATAAACTGTCACAAATATGACAGGCTCTAGATACTTCAGCACTCCAGAACTTTAGCATGCACTTCACAAAAAGTAAGTTATGCATCCAGCTAATATGATCTGCATTTTGGGTTCTCTTGTCAAGCAGAACAGTTCCATTCATGGGGTTCCAAAGTGTTAAAGGTAATCACAGCAAAAAAGTCAACAGCTGAGACTTATTTGCAAGGTATAGCACTACCACTGAACATAATGTGTGTACGAGTATTGGGTGAGATGTTTCAGTTATACTTGGTCTTGTAGCTACATTTATACTTGCAGTAGAGCTACTTCCTCAAATTAACAACTAGATACTATTTGCATTGGGATCTCCTACTCTGCTATCATGCTGCTAATAAGGGGATAAAATGAATCAAGCCAACCACATTGACCTCTTTTTGCCAGCTACCATAGCAGGTGTGGCCAAAAGGTGGACCACTCTAGAACATCATACTAAATATTTGTTATATTCCAATCCCATTATACAGGTGATGAGGCAAGGGGTAGGAATTAGTGGGCAGATGCTGTTGTATACTTATTCTACGTTTACCCTTCAACAGTGGCGGCTCTAGACTTTATGAGGCCTTAGGCGAAACTTAAACAAGAGGCCCCCACTAACACTAATAGTAAAAAAAAACATATAGGGGTTGCATCGTGTGTATACTGAGCTGTAGTTATATTGTATGACAGACTTGCAGCGCTGGATACAGAGATTTACTCTCTGTATTCAGTGTTGGGGTGAGTGTGGCACGGTTGAAGGAGAAAGTGTGACAAGGCGAGGGGAGGTGAAAGTGACAGGATGAGGGAGGGTTATGTGACAGGGTGAGTGTGGCATGGCTGGGCAGGATGAGGGAGGGTTATGTGACAGGGTGAGTGTGACATGGCTGGGCAGGATGAGGGAGGGTTATGTGACAGGGTGAGTGTGACATGGCTGGGCAGGATGAGGGAGGGTTATGTGACAGGGTGAGTGTGGCATGGCTGGGCAGGATGAGGGAGGGTTATGTGACAGGGTGAGTGTGGCATGGCTGGGCAGGATGAGTGACAGGATGAGGGAGGGTTATGTGACAGGGTGAGTGTGGCATGGCTGGGCAGGATGAGTGACAGGATGAGGGAGGGTTATGTGACAGGGTGAGTGTGGCATGGCTGGGAGGGAGGGTGTCAGGGTGAGTGTGGCATGGCTGGATGAGTGCAGATGAGGGAGAGGTTATGTGACAGGGTGAGTGTGGCATGGCTGGGCAGGATGAGTGACAGGATGAGGGAGGGTTATGTGACAGGGTGAGTGTGGCATGGCTGGGCAGGATGAGTGACAGGATGAGGGAGGGTTATGTGACAGGGTGAGTGTAGCATGGCTGGCAGGATGAGTGACAGGATGAGGGAGGGTTATGTGACAGGGTGAGTGTGACATGGATGGGCAGGATGAGGGAGGGTTATGTGACAGGGTGAGTGTGACATGGCTGGGCAGGATGAGTGACAGGATGAGAGAGGGTTATGTGACAGGGTGGAGTGACATGGCTGGGCAGGATGAGTGACAGGATGAGGGAGGGTTATGTGACAGGGTGAGTGTGGCATGGCTGGGCAGGATGAGTGACAGGATGAGGGAGGGTTATGTGACAGGGTTAGTGTGGCATGGATGGGCAGGATGAGGGAGGGTTATGTGACAGGGTGAGTGTGGCATGGCTGGGCAGGATGAGGGAGGGTTATGTGACAGGGTGAGTGTGGCATGGCTGGGCAGGATGAGGGAGGGTTATGTGACAGGGTGAGTGTGACATGGCTGGGCAGGATGAGGGAGGGTTATGTGACAGGGTGAGTGTGACAT